TCACAACTCTTTGGGATAAGGTCAAGACGGATTAGGTAGCGTCTTATAGGACTGGAAATGCATGTCATTGTAGCTGATTATCACCGTGGAAGAAGCGCGTTCGAAGTCGCGAGGCGGTGCGAATGCACTTCAGAACCCTGATTGTGAACTTGGAACCATCCGAGCGCCTCCTGCTGGCTCGCACGACTACCTCGCGCTAAGATACCCTGGCGGCTATCGCTTATACCAACCATCTAGCATTGACTTACCAAGGATGTTCCCAACAAAACTGCGGCGTTATGCAGAGTCGGGGTCAGCACCGACGCCCGGCTCGTCGACCGCACCAAAGCCTACGCCCTCGAAGCGCACTCTGCCGTACATGGAGCTACTCACGCGCCTCTCGCAGCGCACAGGCACACCGCTCCCCTCGCTCATCGTCTCCTTCGGCGTGCTCCACGAAATTACGGCCGTCGCTCCTCTCTTCGGGTTCTTCTTTGCCTCGCGCTGGCTTGGGGTCGGGCAGGCGACGGTTGACTGGGCCGCGCGGAGCGAGGGCTGGGGCGGGGAGATGATGCGAGGATGGATGCGGGACGGCGGGGAGATGGCCGAGCGGGTGGGAGGGAAATACGGTTGGTTCGGATATGAGAAGATGGATAAGGCGGGGCGGGACAGGCTAAAGGAGGAGCAGAAGAAGCGCAAGGAGACTGGGGAACAGGCTGCGCAGCTCGGCACCTGGATCGCCGGTGATGTCGCGAATGTCGTCGTCGCGTACGGGTTGACGAAGGCAATTCCAATCTGGCTCACATGCATGTTCATTATGTGCTGACCTCTTGCCGTGTGTAGGCTATCATGCCGATTCGGATAGGACTGTCGCTCTACTTGGCGCCATGGTTCTCGCGGTCTGCTGTCGAGCCAGCGCGCAAAGCCATCTGGCGTGTCTTTTCTCGAAAGGATAGGCCGATCCCATGATACAATCTTACCCTGCATATGTTCATCAATCATTACATATCCCGCTTCCCGTCATTTTGGTCACCGTACGTTCGACGTGCGATGAGTGATATGCGACTGGTATGCGACTGGGCACACGACTGGATGCGACCCGATATGCGGCCGCCGGCTGGATATGCGAGTGGGCATGCAGCTATGCACGGAGTTGGAGACGTGGATATGCAGCTGGCCGAGTTCCTCCAATGGAGCTTGCTGAGTGCCGACCTGTGGCCTCTTACACAATATGCACAGACATCGTAATGGGAACAGATGGCGCATTGTGACTTCGAAATGGCCTCTACGGCAGATAATGTCAAGAATTGGGTCTGCTGTATGTGTTTGAAACCCAGGCGCATACAGCCAACGACGCTCGGACACATCGTATGCTAGGATTGAGAGCATTGCCAGCGCATAACATGTTTGTAACGAATTCATTATGCACACGAGCATTGTGCGACTAGCTTCACAGACGGGCGGGTAGTAGACGAGAGAGCAGTCACCTGAAGCAACGAGACGAGGGCCGGGCTTGGGCTCAGCGGGACTTCACAGGGCATCACCAAACCCATACAAGATCGAAGTCCCGCGGCGCCGTTGTCTCAACATGTCAAGCGGGACGAGCCCTCACCCAGAGCACAACACGACAGGAGTAGTCACTTGCGGAGGTGGGGTTGATCGACCAACTTACATTGCACCGGAGGAGTCGATATTCTACGAGGTTTCAGTAAGGATGCCACGACAGAACGAAGGAAAAGGACGTATCTGAAAAGGCCCCTGCCCTGACTGGGGAGCAGGGGAAATGCCCCGAAGGGACTTGGGTTTCACCCCCGTGCAATTGCACGGGGTCAGGGAGAAGGAGGGCCGCCCGTTGTAAAGCTTGCCGGGCGGGGGGACGATTTCCCGCCCTGGCTGCCACTCCCCGGGCGGCAGGAGTAGCGCTTAGTAGCGCCGCCCGATTGTAAGCTGTGGCATGGGGACACGAGCCCCACTGCCACTGTCCCTTCCCCGGGCGGCGCGGGAGGGACGCTCGATGGGGCTGGCGGCCCTTTAGTCTGAGCGAAATCAGCAGTTGTAAGGAAGGGGCAGAGAGGACGTACTTAACGACTGTATCCATGCCGCGGGGCGCCCCCACGGGCCGCGCAGGGGGCAGGACGGTCAGGCCAGACCACGGTGCCAACGGGCAGGGAGGGGGATGTCGGCCAGACACCTCCGCGCCAAGCGGCGGGCAAAAGGTGAAGAGGGGGGTTGGTCGGGGTTGCAGTGCAGAGAGACCTCCACGCCAACGGGCAAGCAAGGGGGGCGTAGAACCCAATGACCTCCGCGCCAAGCGGCGGGCAAAAGGTGGAGAGAGGAGGGGGTCGGGGTCGGGGTCGAAGTGCGAAGAGACCTCCGCGCCGACGGACAGGCAAGGGGAGCGTTGAGTCAGGTAGCGTCGAGCCAACGGGCAGTTTGGGGGAGAGTGGGAGGGGGCGGGAGAAGGGGAAGGCGGTTGTACGAGGAAACATCAGCGCAAACAGGCGGGCTTTCATACTTGTGGTGAACGCTCCTCCGAGTCGCCATCATGTCATGTCACTTGGGTCAGCCGGGCCTGGTTCTCCAAGAGAAGCAATGGTGTCCATATGGCAGATGGAGTTAAGGTTGCAAAATTTGTATTGCTCAGGGTTTTCGTCCCAGAGGGGCGGCAAACAAGGGGCAGTGGTGCACTGGTTTTGTACCCAACACATGTGGCTCCTGCTTCTCTTTGACCTTTTCAAAGGTGAAAGGGAACCAGGAGCTTGGAACAATGTGGGTCCACATGGCAGGTTTTTGGTCAGAAGACTGATAAGACCTCCGGGTCAGTCAGCAGCTCAGTCAGCCCTCGGTGATGATTCTGACAGGTTCCTGCCTTGCATTGCATAAAGGGTGCTCAGCATTATTGGTAACCAAGCTAGCAGAGGACCGTTGGAGAGCAAAGAAACAGGGATCCAAAGATCCCAGTTTCTTTTTCACTTCTGCCTAGTAACAGATCCCACTGTTTCTACATGTTTCTCTGGAGGTAAACGCTAGAATGCCCGTGTTTTCACGCGTTAATGCTAGAATGCCCGTTTCACTCCGAAAAGCTAGAATGCCTGTAATGTGAGCCGCGTGCATGAGATCACGTGCCCCTCCGTTTCCGAGGTTCGACAACTTGAACGCCTTAATCACAATACTAAGAAACACGGAGATCAGATAAAACATGGGTATCAGAACAAAGAGCTTCTGTCCACTGGCACCCCTGCTTTTCCAGGCAAGATTACCTGCCGAATTCCTCAGGAACAGTCTGTGGCACGTGGAACCACTGAATTTGACTAGACGGTGAGTGATATCGTCTCTTCAGCTTACACAAAGGTACTAAAAGCAAGAAGCCCGGGACCCAAACAGTGGACCCAAGTCTGTAATCCGATTCTGCTAAGAATACGGCACTGCTCCTTGCTTCTGTACTTGTGTAACTATCGAGCAATCCGACTTCGAAGCCGCACGTGACACCGTGGACGCGACGGACAAGACGGGCATTCTAGCTTTAAATTTTGAAAAGGGCATTGTAGCATTTACACGCGTCAGAACGGGCATCCTAGCGTTTACCTCGTTTCTCTGGCACGCTGTCCGATTGGACCGCTGGTTTGGCAATGGTGGTTACCACTACGTTTGGCATGGGTTTACATGGGGCACACCAACGGTCGACGGCCCCAAAGCTCTCTCCGCGCTGCGGTGTTATGCCCCGACCAATGAAGACCTGTTCAGTTCTCGATACTCTTATCTCCCGCGTTGCTCGTGTTCGGTTCGTCCACCTTGCTGCTCAGAGTCGCTTCGTCCACCGTGGTGCTTGCTACAACCCACACTGCGTTCGAGCTCTCGCGCTTGATCATCCATCGTTATCATTGTGCATTGGGAATCTTTACATGATCTCTACCCGTCGACCTCTCTACCATCACCGGCATAGCAGCCTTGGCGCACAGCGCGCCGTGCTATTGCGCGCGATCCCACTTGCTCTCGATCTCCATGATGCTTACGGACTGCTTCGCCTGCGAGCCTTATTAGCGGCAGCGCCGCACGACAGTTTTATAACGCACCTTCTCGTCATAATCCGTCCACTCGCCCTCTCCCAGCTCAATCTCCCCGAACTTTGTCCCGCTCTCCGCGCCCTTGCACTCCCACATCCCCTGCGGGTCGAACCCGGTGAACTCGAGCCCCCTGCAGTCGAGCGTGATGAGCGGCGCGAAGTGCGGCGCATCGTCCGCCGTGTATGGAGGGGCTTCGCGCCCGGGTCGAACTTTGCGGAAGACTCACGATTGCAGAACTTGCACGACCAGACGAACTGTGCGCTACCTCGCGAACCCGACAGCTCATGCTACTCCTGCCCTTCAGGTTGAGCTCGGAGTGGTTCGGCAGATACCAAGGTTGAGTAGGACGCACATGCATGTTCACCGTGACGAAATTGGTATGGATCTCGTTGCAGCTGCCACATTTGACCTGATTAGGCGCCATTGAAACGATCGGTCCGGGAAGATGTCTTGCACTCACCTAGAAGTGATACCCGAAATGCCCTGCTGCTGTTGCCGACACGAGGTCGGTTATGTCCTCGAGCGCGGACTTGGGTAGGCAGCTGAAGGCGCTGTTGCCAGTGTTTTACACCAATCCGGGTCAAGACCGTCTCAGAAACGGCCCGAATACAACTGGTGAGTGGGCTGGTTGCGGCTTATCTGGGAACGCTCTACTACTGCACGTACAGCGATCTGATAAACTTAGCCATAATACTCCTTTCTTGACTTGGCCAGGTTTGCCTTTCGGTGAACCAGGGGACAAACGGGACAATGCATCATGCGTGGTGTCGGTTAGCTGTGTTTCTGTTCCCTTTAAACAGGCACCGACATTGTTCCCCGAACACAGTGCGTTATCCTACATCTCACAGACAGGTTCAGACATTACAGATGGAGAGAATCAGGCTTGATTCCCTCTACCAGCGTGTAGGCAGCTGTAATGCTACCATATTGTATGGAGTGAGATCTGAGATTATCATTGCCCTTTTAGCTCAGTGGTAGAGCGTTTGTCTTGTAAGCTCTCAGCTTGTGATGTCAACAAAAGGTCACAGGATCAATCCCTGTAGGGGGCAAGTTGGATTTTTAGCCGTTCTTTAACTGTGTTTAAGAGTGGGGAACGTTCGATTCTGGGAGGGGAAGAGGGAAGAACATTTGCGTTCTGCCAACACCGTTTGAGACGCGCGGGGTGGAAACTCTCATTTTCAGGGTGTAATTCCCTTTGGGATGTATATATCTCGGTACTGATGACAGTTTCCGCTTGTTATTTGAGTAGAATATGCAAAGGAACGGCGATTGCATGCCTAAACAAATGTTGGAGGAAGTTTTTCCGACGAACGACGGAAGTAAACTTGCGACACACGAAGCAATTTGGTTCCACTCACAGCCACTGCCAAAAGGACCAGTCTTCCAGACGGACGACCAAAAAATCATGGTACGCCCTTCTTTCCGTTACTCTCCTGCAGGATGGCCGACCTTCTTCACCCAGGTCACGAACAGCGGGAAGATCAGCATACCAGTACCGGAATGGAATAAGCGGTTACAGCAAGTTCGGGTTACTAAACAGTGAGTGCTGGTTCTTAGAGGGCTTTCCGGATCGTCGGGTCCACCCTTCGCCTGATGAAACTTATTGCAAGTGGGAATCTCTCCTAAACAACTTGCGGAAAACCAATACACATTGCTATCTGATTCATCTCTCCTTCTGCGTCTTCATGCGTTCATGCGCTAACCGCCCTCCCCAGTGACCTGAACCAGCTCGTCATGGACTACCTCGTCATCGAGGGGTACAAGGAAGCAGCGGAGAACTTTTCGCGCGAATCTGGACTACAACCGCCCGTCGAGTTGGACACGATCGAGGAGCGAACGTTGATCCGTAATGCAATATGTAGAGGCGATATTGATGAGGCGATCAACCGGACGAACGAGTTGAACCCAGAGGTGCGTCTCAAAATCCTGCTGCTTCCGTCGCATCGCGACTTCAAAGGATTAAACTTTTCATGCACCACGCTGAGCCCTTCGGGGCGCTGGTGATACTCTTTTACACCAAACTTCAGTCTTCAATATGAGCTACTCGTTTGCTGTCGTCGCCTTGTCTATTGTACTAACCCTCATACACAAAGGTGCTCGACTCCAACCCTCGTCTGTTCTTCCACCTCCAGCAGCAGCGGCTCATCGAGTACATCCGCGCAAGCGACATTGAAGGGGCCATCACCTTCGCGCAGACGCACCTCGCTCCACGTGGCACCGAAAACCCCGAGTTCCTGCGCGAGCTCGAACGCACCATGACCTTGCTGGCGTTCGACAACCCACCTGAGGACATCGCTCCCCTGCTTGGGATGGGCCAGCGGCAGAAGACGGCGAACGAGCTGAATGCCGCGATCTTGGCGAGTCAGAACCAGGGGAAGGAGGCGAAGCTTGCTGGGCTGATGCGCATGTTGACCTGGGGAGAAACAATGCTCGATGAGCGCTGCGAGTATCCCCACGTCGACCTTACAACGGGCTTGCTGGGCGGCGAGGTCGCCAAGCCGGAGGATGCCTCGGCGTTGGAGCCATGATACCGGACAGAGCGGTGATTGTGTATTATTACTACAATAGTGTATTCTATACATGTGCCCGGAGGCGTCTAGGTGAGAGGTGATACAGTAGATGACCAAATCAAGAGGATATCCAATGACAGGTATATGCACACAGATCAGTGCCAACGGGCCGTCTAGATGTTCTATTTACTCGTCTGTACGGGTTGTCAGCGCCGTCCGCTGCCACTTGCAAGAGTGGACACACCTTCTCAGCTCCAACCGACCTCAAGATCGCCTCGAACACAAAGAACGCGCTGGCATTGACCGGGAATGCGCGTAGGACGACCGGCCAGAATCCTCTATAAAAGTTCAGCATCCCACCCTCCGCATATATTCGCCTGCCCATAGCAATAGGGCTGCTGGAGTACCTTGGCTTGACCAAGTCGTCAGCCAAGATACGGTTCTTGATGTTGTCGAACGGAATGGCGAATGCCCAGTATGAGAAGCTGCCCAGACCGCCAGAAAGGAACGAGGCTGTGCCCTCAGACATGTCGAACTTGCGGAAGCCGCGGAGCAGAGCCTCGTAGCTGCAGAACATGGCGGCGAAGCAGCTGCGGAAGAGCACCATGGAGAGGAAGCCGCGGTAGAGGCCGAGCGGGCCCTGTGCGGCGAATATTTGCTACGCGGGTGTTAGCGGTAATCTGTGAGAGGAGGAGAAGGTGCGCACCCGCATACAGTCGATCGACCCCTTATACTTCCAGTCCTTTGGATCGCGCGTCATCTGAAGCTGCAGCTTCACCTTGAGCGTATCGACGGGCATCGCCATCACGCAGCTTGTCCAGCCCGCCCAGAGACCGGCAAGAGCATGTCCCGAGAGGGTGAGGCGCGTCTCGCCAGTATGGGAGGACGGCAGCGGCTCTGTCCAGCCGTGCTTGATGAGGAAGAGCCGGTAGTTGTGCAATGATCCGATCAGGAGGGAGTCAATGAACGCCCATCCGACCGCTGGAGGTGTTGCGCCCTTGTACAACGCCAGTGGTCCCTACGTTGCGATGACTCGGTCGGTCTCAGTCACAGAAGGCGACAGCACGAGCACGCACCTCATTCCGCACCGTCTTCACGAGGCAGTCCCACGGACCGGTGTACACCCCAGGCGGGGCGCATTGCAGACGCGTTTTGACAGTGTCGAAGCCATGCCCGACTGCGACCTTGGTGACTCCGCTGCCCATGCCCGCGAGCGCGCCGGCGAAAGAGAATGTGGACTTTGCCGATGCCTTGGGCGGGTCGGGGACCGGGGGGTCCTCCGCGCTCATCTTGACGGGTGACGCGGGGAGGAAGGCGACGGGCAGGACGTTTTAGGAGACGATGGGAGGGAAGACGTCCGCGATGGCGTGGGTTCTGGTCGTGTGTGGGATTTTGGCCATCGGCGACTCATCGCGACTTCCCCATCGGGCGCGTCTGTAAGGGTCCTGACAGATCCCTTACACAATGTATTCAAGCAACGTCATCTTCGTCCCGACCACCACATTCATTGACGAAATACCAACGCAGTCCGAAACATGGTTGTAAGCTAAAATTTGACATGCCACTTGTTCTTTGACGCTGATCGAAGTGAAACAACAGCGTCTTCAGTTGTCGATCAAGGCCGAGCTGGAGAACATAACCGACCTCGTGCCGTCAGAAGCAGAAGGGCCGTTCGAGTATCACTTCCAGGTGAGTGGGAGACATCCTGCCGAACCGATCACGTTAATGATGCCCTGTCAGGTAAAATGTGGCAGCTGCAATGAGATCCACCCCAACTTCGTCACCGTAAACATGCATGTGCGTTACACACAGCCTCGTTGTCCGCCGACCTGCTCCTGACTCAAGCTGAAATGCAGGAAGAGCACGACCTCTCCGGCTCGCGGGGCAGTGCACATTTCGTCTGGTCGTGCAAGTTCTGCAAGCGCGAGTCTTCCGCAAAGTTCGACCCGGGCGCGAAGCCCCGTCCATACACGGCGGACGACGCGCCGCACTTCGCGCCGCTCATCACGCTCGACTGCAGGGGGCTCGAGTTCACCGGGTTCGACCCGCAGGGGATGTGGGAGTGCAAGGGCGCGGAGAGCGGGACAAAGTTCGGGGAGATTGAGCTGGGAGAGGGCGAGTGGACGGATTATGACGAGAAGGTGCGTTATAAAACTGTCGTGCGGCGCTGCCGCTAATGAGGCTCGCAGGCAAAGCAGTCCGTAAGCATCATGGAGATCGAGAGCAAGTGGGCTCGCGCGCAATAGCACGGCGAGCTGTGCGCCAAGGCTGCTATGCCGGTGATCGTAGGGAGGTTGACTGGTAGAGATCATGTAAAGATTCCCGATGCACAATGATAACGATGACTGGTGAAGCGCGACAGCTCAGGTACAATGTCGTTTGAAGCCAGCACCAAGGCGCACCAGCCGAACACGACAACGCGGGAAATGAGAACACTGGCAACAGAGAACTCCATCATCGAATACGCGGGAGACGCTATGAGAGCACGCCGAGAGAGCGTCGGCGTCGGGCCGTCGGCATGCGTCAGGTGAGGAGCTCCAAGAAGTGTGAACGAGGTGATGACCACCGTCCCCAGCCAGCGGTCCAATCGGGAAGCCTGCCAGAAGAGAACGAAAAAGCGGTGGGAACGGTTACTAGGCAGAAGAGAAAAGAAACCAGGATCTTCCAATCCCTGTTTCTTCGCTCTCCAGTGGGCCTTGGGTAGACAGTGACCCTGGACTGCAAGCACCCTTTATGCAATGCAGGTCGGGAACCTGTCAGAATCATCACCGAGCGCTCACAGAGAGCTGACTGACAGGGAGCTCATATCGGTCATCTGAGTGAATAGGTTTGCAAAACCAGCCATGTGCACCTGCTTCTTTCCAAGCGCTCGGCTCCCTTTTACCTTTGTTGGACACAAAACCAGTGCACCAGCGGCCCTTGTCGGCCTTCCCTCTCGGACGAAAACCCTGAGCAATACAAATCTTGACAACCTGACTCGACCATCCATATGGACACTGTTGCTTCTCTCGGATAGCCAAGTCCGGATGACACGAAGGAGATGACACGAGGGGAACTCGGAGGAGCGGTTGCCACAGCTATAAAACCTGGCATGTTTGCGCTGAGTTTTCCTCGTACAACCGCCTTCCCCTTCTCCCGCCCCCTCCAGCTCCCCCCCAAAACTGCCCGTTGGCGAGGACGGCTCCTGGCTCGACCCCCCTCCCCCCCCCTTGCTTGCCCATTGCTGTGGAGCTCTCTTCGCACTTCGACGGCGACCCCCCGACCTCCCCCTTTACACCTTTTGCCTGCCGATTGTCTTAGTTGGTGCTTGCAAACTTCGTTCTCCACCGCACGCTCACCTTTTGCCCGGCGCTTGGCGTGAAGGTCTTCTGGTTCGACCCCCCCCCCCCCCCCCCCCCCCCCTCCCCCGGTGCTTGCCCGTTGGCGTCGAGGTCTCTCCGGACTTCGATCGCGACCGCCCTCCTCCTTCCGCCCTTTTGCCCGCCGCTTGGCGCCGAGGTGTCACCCCGACTCCCCCCCAGGTTGCCCGTTGGCATCGA